CAATTGGCTGCCCTGGACACACGCCCCAACTGGGGAACAAACCTACAACCCAGGCATGTATCCTGACCAGGAATCAAACCTGTGACCTTTCAGTTTGTGGGATGATGCCCAACCAACTGAGCCAACTGGCCAGGGCTTAACCACTACTTTAAATTAACCTGGTAGTAAGTGATACAGTAATCTAAACTGAGTAAGTGATCAGAACGCTTACTGAAATTAATGTAAAGACATCATGCCAAGAAAATGAGTATTACAGGCAGAGAGCTATCCACTTTGGAAAGTATTTAAAATTATGTCAGAAGGATTATTTTCACTCTAAATCATTACCATTTAATAATAAAGATCATAAGTTAAAATAACTTTGACTGAACTTATTTACTAACTTGTGGTTAATTTTCAAAACTGAATCAGTTATGATATCCACACCTTTGCTTCATTAACATTCAAAAGTCTTACAAACTCATTAAGAACTTTAACATCTATCAGTTTTCTACATCAAGTAGAAATCCCAACCCTTCTAAAGCCTGTCTAGAGCCTATAATGTCTGAAAAACACATACACTAGTCTATTTTACTTCTAGTTTATCCCTTCTTGCAATAAAAAAAAGTTCACTGGAAACTGTAGTACTTGAGTGTTAAGAGTTTCATATTTAAGGCTAATTTTGTAATTCACTGGAATGTCTGCATGCCCTAAATCAGGGCCACCTGTAATCAATTCACAAGAAATGAAACAGATTCATCATCCCCTATACTATCAAAATATGAAGTATCAATATTGTGAATGGAAGAAACAAAGTATCAGAGTGTTTCCATTTAAGTTACACCGGAAGTCTGAGATACAGGAGAGCTAGAGAAGGAACAAGTGTAAAGGACCTACAGGCAAGGACAACAGGAGAGGGGAGGCTTGAATGGGACAGATGGGGGTAAACGGGGCAGGGGAGAGTACTGGGGGGAAATGGGGACAACTGTAATTGAACCAGAAAAAAAAATTTGTTACAAAACACAAGGCCAAACACCACCCCTCCCACACACACTCACACACACTCAAAATAAATAAAATGTCACCTGGCTCAAGATTTGTTTATGGCCATAAACTTTCCTTTAGTTGTCAAGTAGTACATGAATAAGGCTATGTTTCAAAGTTAAACTGTTTTAAAAATCAATGCAAAAGAAGCTTTTCGTTTTTTTCTTTTTTCCTATTATTCTTTCTTCATAGTATTGGAAAGATGGGATTGGATAACCTAGACGTGTAGTGAGACTAAAGGGTGAGTGTGGCAAACCCTGGGTACAGAAGGGTAAAAAGGGGGGGGGAGGCGAGGGGGAGACACTAAGTAAATTAATCATTTTGAGTCCCAGAAGAAAGGTCAAAGTCCCATGTCTTATTTCTGCTCAACCTCCAGTACCTAGCATAAAACGTTAAGACATGATAACTACCCAATAAACATTTGACAAATGAATGACCAAGAACTTCCTGTCAAGATCAGGTAGTAAGAGGAAGGATGGAAGGGAAAGGACTGTTCAGATTCACGCATATAACACTTTATGAGGACCTGATAATACATTTCGGAGAAAAGGCAAAAGCATTTCAGAAAGGAATGAGGAATTTAACTAAACACTTTCTGCCTACAAATCCCTGCATATTTACTCAGCAATGAAGTTCTTTGTGAATTACGGCTCCTAAATACATTACTACATTTCTTTAATTAGTAAAAAATATATAGCTGGAAATAAACCACCATAGTACTCCATCCGAGAAACATCCAGCTCTATACACACACATGCACACACACACTTCTGTCCTCTCTCCCAAAGAACCAGAGGACGGTGAATAGGGGGCCTTCAAATCAAAGTTTCACTCTCCTCCCTGCCCTCAAGAATCCATGGTTTCAAATGCTACTTGTTTCAATGTTCCTAGATACTTACCGAATGTTCAAATTTCAACAACAGTCTCCTGGGAAGTTATACTGAGGGAAGACTGTCAGGTAGATAAATTTGGCCTATTAGCAAAAGCAATTCTGAGTACAACATGACTTTGCCATTTAGTTTGTGTTAATACTCTACCCCTCATGAATTCAGGTCATTGTCCTAAGACCTTGTGAACAGAGATGGAAGTGAAGGTGGGTGTGACTTTACAAACCGAGACTGGTTCAGAACAGCAAGTTTTGCTTTATCTGGTTCCTGACAACCAACCTAAATAACGTCAGGAAATACCAAAATGTTCTGACCTAGGAGTCTTATAGTTCCATGTCATACATTTAAGCCTTTAATTCACATTAACTGTTGTATATGGGGTGTGCAAAATAGGTTAGGAGTTAATAAAGCTACTGGAATAAACCTACTGTAAAAGACATTGCATGTCTTTTTCCACATGGACTGTAAATGTACGTTTGCCCACCCCTGCACGGTGTGATATAAGGGTTCAGTTTCATTCGTCTGCACAGGAATATCCAGTTTCCCAGCACCGTTCACTAAAAAAACTATCCTCCTCCCATTGTGTGTTCTTGGCAGTTGGTATTACCTACATATTGTGAAACCACAATTCTAGGATATATGAGTAGAACACAGAAAATGTTCACAAATTATAGTAATAATAACCTATAGTGTTGAGTTTGAATTCTATCAGTATGAGCTCATGAGGCACTTTATTAAATAACTTAGTAGAAACAAGCAATTTCAAGCACCCAGATTATGCTGTGAAGTTATTTTCCCCTGCCCTGACTAGTGTGGCTCAGTGGGTTGGGCACTGTCCCACAAACTGAAAGGTCGCTGGTTTGATCTGCAGTCAGAGCACATGCCTGGGTTACAGGCCAGGTCCCCAGATGGGGACTGATCAATATTTCTCTCCCTCCCTTCCTGCTTCTCTAAAAATGAAGAAAGTCTTTTTTTTTTTAATTTTCTCTAAAAAGAACTAAGGCTTACTGGAAAAATGGCTAATTTTAGGGATGCAGCAAAAAATGTAACAAAGTGATCATAGAACATCTCTCTATAGCAAATAAAGAAATTATCAGACTACTAGAAGTTTCAATAGGCGTATAGAAAGAAGCTCAGTGTTGCTAATCATCAGAGAAATGCAAATTAAAACCACAGTGAGGTATCACCTCACATGGGTCAGAATGACTGTCATCAATAAATAAAAAAAACAAGTGCTGGCGAGGATGTGGAGAATCGGGAACTCTTTCACACTGTTGGTGGGAATGCAGACTGATGCACCCACTGTGGAAAATAGCATGGAGTTACCTCAAAAAATAAAAATGGAACTGCCTTACGACCCAGCGATTGTATTCCTTGCAATTTATCTGAAGAAACCCGAGACATCAACTCAAAAGACTATAAGGACTCCTATATTCATCGCCAAGATTTGGAAGCAGTCGAGGTGTCCATCAGTAGATGGGTGGATAAAACAACTATGGGACATTTACATGGAATACTACTCAGCTGTAAAAAAAAGGAAATTTTTACTCTCTGCAACAGCATGGATGGACCTGGAGAACATTATGCTAAGTGAAATAAGCCAGTCAGAGAAAGACAAATACCGTATGATTTCCCTCATATGCAGAATCTAATGAACAAACTGAACTAACAAGCAAAATAGAGACCAACTGGTATTGAGCAGATGACAGCTCGGGGTTCAGGGGAATTACAGGGATTGAGCAAAAAGGAAAGTCATGGACACAGAAACAGTGTGGTGATTGCGGCAGGGAGGGCAGTATAAGGGGGATCAATGGTAAAAGAAAAAATACAATTTTAAAAAAAGGACTCAGGAGCCAACTTGAGCCAACAAAGAAGCTCCTAAAGATGGGATGACTTGTGCTTCAATGTATTTTTAATAAAGAACTAAAACCATCAAATATCCTCACTTCCAGTTAATACCTAAACACAGTAAGTCTTCAGTTAACATCATTGGTAGGTTCTGCAATATTAAGCAAAACGTAAGTGAAAACAATTTTACCATAGGCTAACTGATATAAATGAGTTAAGTTCCTAAGGTATCTCATTAATGTTATACAAAAAACAATGTAATTCAAGAACCTGATGTAAAATAAATTTGTTAGTCATCTCCAGAGAATTAGGAACCAATTCATCAACTTGAAAAATTTTAAGTACATATTCTGTTTTTTCTATATTATCTACACTATTGGTAACAAAATACAAGTGAAGGGTAAATGCTTTCATAAAAATGCTACTAAATTGAGTATCACCCATTTTAATCCCCAAATGAATTAACGCAGCCTCAATAAAAAGAAAACTGCATTAGGCCCTGGCTGGTGTAGCTCAGCGGATTGAGCGCGGGCCTGTGAACCACACGATCGCCTTTGGATTCCTAGTCAGGGCACATGCCTGGGTTGCAGGCCAGTTCCCAGCAGGGGACACATGAGAGGCAACCACACATTGATGTTTCTCTCCCTCTCTCCTCCCCTTCCCCTCTAAACATAAATAAATAAATAAATAAATAAATAAATAAATAAATAAATAAATAAATAAATAAATAAATTTTAAAATGTTGCATATTTAAAAAAAAACTTTTTTAAAGAAAAAGAAAACAGCATTAGCTACAGTTTTGACAAGAGATCAAACCTGAATCTGATCCTTTGGATCCATCTGTCAATTTGAAAACTACATAACACTGAAGAACATGCAGAACTTCAGGAGTTTACAATCAGCAGATCCCAAGTGTGATAAATCCTGAACATCAATGATACTGATTCTTCAACAATAAAGTTTAAAGAAAGAAAAGAATGCATGGAGGACCTACAAATAAATAGACTTAAAAGATCACTTTTTTCTTTTTTAATATATTTTATTCATTATGCTATTACAGTTGTCCCATTTTTTCTCCCCTCTATTCCCTTCCGCCCTACACCCCTGACCCTAGCATTCCCCCCCCCTTAGTCCAAGTCCATGGGCCATACATATAAGTTCTTTGGTTTCTCCATTGCCTATACTATTCTTAACTTCCCCTTATTTTGTACCTACCATTTATGCTTCTTATTCCCTGCACCTCCTCCCCCCCATTCTCACCCACCACTCCTTCCCTGCTGGTAATTCTCCATGTGATCTCTCTTTCTGTGATTCTGTTCCTATTTTAATCTTTGTTTTTGTTTTAGGTTCAGTTGTCATTTTACTGCTATTTTTTATCTTCTTTTTCTTAGCCAAGTCCTTTTAACATTTTATATGATAAGGGCTTGGTGCTGATGCACTCCTTTAACTTGACCTTATCTGGGAAGCACTTTATCTGCCCTCCCATTCTAAATGATAGCTTTCCTTGCTGGATAGTGTCATCTTGGATGTAGCTCCCTGTCTTTTGCAACTTTGAATACTTCTTTCCAGCCCCTTCTTGCCTGCAATGTTTATTTTCAGAAGTCAGGCAGGTAACTGTCTCCTTTTCTCTTGCTGCTTTGAAGATTCTCTCCTTGTCTTTAATCTTGGGTAACCTAATGATGATGTGCCTTGGTGTGTTTCTCCTTGGGTCCAACTTCTTTGGGATTCTCTAAGCTTCCTGGACTTCCTGGAAGTCTATTTCCTTTGCCATAATAGGGAAGTTCTCCTTCATTAAAGAGATCACTTTTTTTAAAGGGCAAATTACAGTATTTAGGAATGTACATTTGGATAATAAAACCATTTAAATAATTGTAAAAGTGTTTATTTTTGTGGGATAGAGATTAAAATGGAGCATATGGAGACAGGCTGTTAAAATTCTATTTCTTGACTGGCTGGTAGTTACCCAATTATTCATTAAGTTGTATTTTAACTTTGTATATTTATCTGGTAAATAAAATGCGTTCTTAAAAGGAGGAAGGGAAAGGAAGCCACCAAAGGTATTGGTCTACATATGATTTTAATAGATCAAGAGTACATACGCAGGAGACTGACATCAATGACCGCAGAGCCGCTTCCGGATGGGAGTCAATTCTTAGCCTTAAATGGGAGGCCAGTTCCAATAAAGGAACAAATTTTAAAGGCCAAAGTTAGTTACACAGTAGGAATTCTCCCAGGTCATCTTCATTTTTCTATGTAACTGTACACTGAAGAGGAATACCCGATATTTTAAGGGCTGTTAGATACAGGGTCTTCTTAGTTGACACTGATGAACCACAATGTTCCTCAACGTTCCTGTTAGAGCAGGGCCATAAGGAAGCCGGGTGATAAACAGAATCCTGGCCCATGCCTGTCTCACAGTGGGCATGTTGTAACACAGCCAGAACTCTTGATCACGGACAGTGGGCTGGTCTAAGGGGATGGCACCATGTTCATTTAACCTGCAGAAATAAGTGGAAAATGTTCTGGACTTCCTGGTAAGGCACACATATGCCAGAAGACAGTTGATACACCACGAAAGTTCAGAGGCTTATCATACTGGGGAACTTATGAAGGGTCAAGTGGTCAGGGGCATACTGAGACATTCTTTCCTGAAGGATGAATTATTCACTTTGCTCCTCCTACCGCTAACAAAAAGATACAGCACTTGGTAGTATTCTAGATTTTGGAGACAATGTAAAATATACACAGGAAAAATGCTTAAAAGCATTTCTCGGATGACTTAGACAATTTTAGGGGGGCCCAAAGTGAGAGAGGGTTACAGAAGAAAGTGAGAGGGTACATTGGAATGAGTGACTTTGCACCTAACCATCACTTACATCATAGCGTAACTGTATGACCAGAGGTGCCCATCATAAGTTGGGCACTGTCAGATCCACCAAGACACAAGACAGAGCCAGAATATTAAGAAACAATGGTACATTTAGGATGGGGCCCAAGCAAGTCGAGGCTGTGAATTTCATGAAAAGGTAGCCCAGAATCCCACTTCACTTACCTCCAAGAAACTAACATCTCTCTCTCTCTCCCTCTCAACTAACAACCTATGACTTCTTTGGAGTTCAAAGGAGGAAAAAAAAGAATTCAGGCTTGGTTTTGCAAATGGATCTAATTGCCTTGTTGCTAAAACTGGACTGCTACAAGTCAGTGATGAAGGGAAATCCATTCCAGGGGCTAAGCTTCCAGCAATAAACCTGGTCAGCCCTTTGTTCTAGTGATGGGATGTCAAATTTAATGCTCAGCACAAATTTTATGTCAACGTAGTCTAGTTAATTACCTTGTCTGAGCATATTCTCTAGTCTAGTCCTCAGGAAACACTCAAGGGAAATAGGTTTCCTGAAGTCTTACATGTTGAGAATGTCTGAGCAATGATTTTTATACTTTAAAAAAAAAAGGTTTTGTTAGATATAAAATCTTTTACTTTTTCCCCACCACAAATATCTTAAATGTGTCATTTTCCTGGCATAGTGCTAAATTTAGTCTTGCTCTTTGTAAGTCACTTGTTTTTGTTTAGATAGCCAACACCAAAGTTTATATCTAGGATAATATTCTCAGGTAGGAAGGGTGTTTTTTCAATCCGTAGTTCCTAATCATTGTTTTCAGCAAAGTATTTTAAATATAATTGTGTACAGTATGTATGTTCTGATATTTTTAAATCCCTAAAATTGTATCTTCCCACTAATCCTTTCTATATTATTTCTGATTTCTAAAGTCATTCTCCTTTTAAAATTCTATTCCCCTTACGGCATTATCTGTTGTCCATATGCCTTTGTGTTTATTATAATTTAGTCTTCATTTCTGAATTCTTTTTCCCTTTATTTCTAGTATTTTCCCAAGTTTTTCAAATTAGAATTTTTTTGTTTTTGTTCGCATTTTGTATCATTAAAAAAAATTTTATAACCCATTTTAAAATAACAGGTTACAGTTTTAATCTATTTTATGGACATGTCTTTCTGATATGCTTTCAATGAACACAGAATATAAGAACCATGCAGGACTACAATTTTACACTACTTATTTTTATGTGAAATGAGCTTTTCTGAACTTTTAGAAAGAGGCTTGTTTCAGGATAACTTCTCTAGCTCCAGAGTTCCCACGTCTGTTGCTTTTGTATAGTATTGGAAAATATGGCAGCTTCCTTGCTGAGATTTTCCTGGCTTTTTAAAAATGTTGTTGTTTTTTTAAATTACTATTATTTTTAGTGAGGCATAATTGAAATATAACATTGTGTAAGTTTGAGGCATTCAACGTGCTGGTTTATTACATTTATATATTTCCTGGCTCTTTTTAAATAAATGCTGTGATGGATACAAAGATACATAAAATATAACATTAGATTTTAAAAAATAAATCTAAACATAGCAAACAAATATTTTTAGTAAGAAACTTCATGCCCCACAGAGTTTCAGAGTTCTATAGAAATAAAATGCCTTCTCCAAAAGAAAAAAAGCCCACAGTATTTTTACAAAAATGTGTGTAACTCAACTACAAATGCAATAATTTAATGGAATTTAGTAGCCAGAGCCAGTTCTACCTTAAATAATTGAGTTCTGCATGTAATGAAATGGAATATAAAATGTTCTATTTTAAATTGAAGAGAAAGACTTCAACATAAAAGTTTCAGATGAAAAATATTCTATAAATGTAATGATAAATCAATTTGCATTCATGCCTGTACATTCCTTAACATTGCTTCATCTCAGAGAACAAAACAAGTCTTCAATGGTAGTTTTCTGTGATTTAAAAAGCATAGTAAAAGCTTTGGTGTGCTGTTTTTTTTATAAAGATGTATTAAAGATAAGGAAAGGTACAACATACCTAGATACCTGTACTATGGTAAAATATATTTCAATTAAAAACCTGCTTTGCACAGAAGAGCCACCCTGATAAAGTTCTCACCAGCCAAAGGGGATAATTTGAACCAAAGAACAGTGAGTACAAGTAAATAAAACACTAAATTAAGAAAAAAGAAGGTCTTAAGTTCATGGTCATGGTGATAGTGAAGGGGAAAAAAATATTTTTTAATTCATAGGACACCAATGGAGGTCACCAGGACACCAGAAGTCACTCTGAAACAAAGGGAAAGGATTAAATATGCACCCTGCCATTCTGGCATGTGCATATACCATGATGACCAAATAGCACTCATCCATAGATCGAGGTTCTTCTGCACAGAAGAACTGCAACTAGGAAGTGCAATAGGAATGATAAATTTGGAAAATCACCATTTTGCAAGCCTTAATAACTGATTCAGGCAAATGTCATTAACTTATGTTTTAAAAAAATTGTAAAAAGGTTACAGGACACTCTCTGATGAAGATGAAAGGCTTCTGCTGCCCATGTGGCCAATGACCAACCTGAGCATCATTAAAAAAGGGACAATCTGAATTAAGTGTCTCTTAATTTCATATAATATATAAAGTATACCATAATAACATGAAATATTCTTGCTAAGAATAATGAAATCAGAATCTAATTAATCTTCTTTAGATATAACTTCTAGGATATGGAATAGATGATGAACATGTTAAACAACAACAACAAAAGAAAACCACCAAATTCAGTCCATGGGACATTATAGAAAACTCACACGGCTCCTTCAACAAATCACAGTGTGTTAGACAGGGGTGAAAGGGGGAAAGCAAATTTAGATTTCAAGACATGCCAAAGATAAAACAACCAGATACATGTGTACACTCAACCATAAATACACTTTTGAAAAAATTTTAAAAGACTGGATATTAGATACTAATAAATCATTAATTCTATTAGGTATGATACTGACATTGTAATTACATATAGAAATGTTTTTTGATATACCTTCAAATATTTAGATAAAAATGACATCACATTTGAAATAAAGTATGACAACATACTGAAGGTTACTAAAGCTGGTTTATGGGTATATGGAGGTTCATGACAAATTTTCTCTATTTCAGCAGGCACTTAAAACTTATTGTAATAATAAATTATTTTTTCAAAAAACATCTGATACATATAATTGGCAAAGTTTATTATCAAGAACTTTAGTAGGTTTTTAAAAGACTGTTTTGGTTTTAAGTATAATGAAAGATGACAATCCACAATAAGACATACACAAACAAGGATAATTAAAATATTAAATACTGTCCAAATTAAAAGACCATAATTCAAATTGCTAACTTTATAATTTTTGTGTCTTGTTAGAAGTAGCCGGACAATTACTCTTCACAAAATTCACCCCATCAACTCATGAAGGCTGCAAAGCCTCAATGCAAAGTCAATTATAAAGTTTTCAGTTATCAGTGCTGAGTTTTTGTGCTTAAGTGTGCATTACCATAGAAAGCACAAAATGCTGAAGGGAATTTTTGCTTCTTTAAAACATCTCAAGCATCTTTTAAAGTGCGAGCTACAAATATACTGTATCATTACAGAAAAAGTCTTCCAAAAGCATGAGACAGCTACCCAACACGGCCAAGAGCAGTTGCGTGACTAACCGAAGGACTCCCGGCAGTGCTCTGCTATGTCAGTGTGGCAGCCTCCTCCCCTGCAGGTGACTGAGTCTTAGCTCTCACTGTACTACCAGCCAAACATGTACTCCATTGCTTTGGATACAAGACTTTCGTCTTTTTTTGGCGTCTGTCTGTCAGAAATGACCTATTTAAAAAAAACACAATTGTTAGGTTATGGTTTCTTTAGCTTCATAGTCAATTCTAGAGGTAATGACTAATTTAACAGAGCCGAACACTAAAATGCATTTGTAGAATTAAACTGTATATTTAAAAATTAAAATATGGCTTTGGTTAGAACCTCCTTATAATTTTAAGAATAGTAACATTGTATTCCTTTGGTAATTACATCCACTCCTTAAATTAGAAAACTGAACAAACACAAAAGCTACAAAAATTGAAAGGTTTATAAAATAATTAAAAAAAAAACTAAAAGGAAAAAACCCCACAGTTCAAGAATGATCTCCAAATTTCATGAGGAAATCAAAATACTAAAGTGACAAATCTTTTAATTTGCCTTTTAGAACCCATGTCTGTTGCTAGGCAAGTTCGGAACTCCTGCTCAATGATTATGGGATAATAACAAACTGAATGAGAATCATAACACTCCTACCCTTCTTCAAGGAATATAATACATTCGTCCTTTAAACCTTTTTGAAATGAGAATATTTGAAATGGAAACTGGTCAATGCTTTCTCTGATAACCAAAGGCTACTCCAACAAAGCTTAGGGCTCTTTCTTTGTGATACCATCAGATTTAGTTACCAATTTAATAGGGCATTTAATATTCCTTCATGCCAGAAATGTTCACCAAAAAACCCAACTTTTGAAATATACAAAGATTACTTTAAAACTAAATTAAACTCTGAAAATGTTTTTAAAATGGTAAAGAAACTTTTTTAAAAATTCAAGGTACACTTCCAATTGGCCAAAATTCTGATTTTTCTAATAGAAAATTTACGGATATAAAGTTTGTATGTTTCATCATGGCAATCACTTAGGTAGGAAATATTAATATTTAATGGCATACAAATCAATGCAATGAAACTGTTAAACATGCTATGCACGGCAGCCTTCAAAGTACATCCATGTAGCCCATCCTTGAAATACCTGATAGTCACTAGTAGAAGCCTTGTATGCTGTAGCAAGAGGTCTCATGGTAGAAATCCTAGGAGTACTTCCAGGCTGGGTGGGTGTACCTAAGGTTTTGATTGGTGGTGTATAGGCTAGAGATGAAGATGACAAAGCACACCTGTCACTGTTTTCCATAACACTCTAGAGAAACAAAGATAAAGAACTTTTCTGTTTATAAATGTATTATTACATCCTATTTACAAAGAAAACTTTATTAAGAGATATATGCTTTATTTAATCTAATTAATATATTAAATAATGTTGGGCCTGATAAAATAATATATGCTTCTTGGCTAGCATTTGAGATCTTAATGTTCAGCCAGAAATCTAACTTCAATGACCTCAAACATCCTGAGACATCTACAGACTCACAAGAGTAAGAATCTCCTAACCAAAAGCAAGAAAAAGAGAATCCTTAGAAAAATCTGAGAGGAGGGGGAAATTAAAGTCCAATGATCTTTAGTACCCAGTAACCCCAAATTCTCATCTAGCCTCTGCAAACTTCCGGTCCAATACAATGTAATAATGACAGCGATCCTATATATACTATGAGCATCAGGAGCCATTCTGCTTTGTACACTAATACAGACAATTTCTAAGCACAGTCCCTGATAGGTAGTGTATTTCACATATATTTACTTAAAGAATGATCATGATGACTTTAAAGCCACAAAGAAAAGTTTAAGTTGTGCTCAGTGTTGTTTTTTAAGTATATAAATACATGATAATTTTTAAATACTGTATCTTAATATAGAAATATCTGATAAAAAAATTCCACCACTTAAGGTAACCCTTATGTGAAATATTTCATTCTGAAATAGCACCATTCCTTTAAAGTACTTAAAGAAATTTGATGCTGCTTTGCATAAGAAAAACTGGGTTAGAAGATAAGAAACCTAGAACAGTATCTAGGCCTCATCTTTCACAACTCTGGATAAGTTGCTTACCAAGAAAAGAGTACTCTAACATCGTCACAATTTACAAACTAGGAAAAACAAGCACAGCGAAACAAAGTGACATACCCACTAATGTCAATATTTAAACTTGTGCTCTTCAAATGGATTAAGACATTTCCCTCGCATAAACAATGACTTACTTTATCTATACATGGTTTTACACCAATCATGATGGACTCTCCAAAAATCCTCCCATCTTTGCTTAAGGCTTTCCGGGCCTGCAGTTTAGATTGATAACGGATATGCATCCAATTTCCTGTGTTAGACATCTGCAAAAAATGAAGCTGTTTCTTTAAATGTAAAATCTAAACTTCATGTATTACATTAGAAAATTAAAATATATAAAGATACATCTGCTTCCACTTTTTATTTGATGCCCTGAAAAAAGCTATTCAACATAATAAAAGGATTCAACATAAATCCCATTAAACAATTTCAGTACTTTCTATCTGGCTCTCGATTCTCTAATATAAAGAATATGTGGCCCTGGCTGGTGTAGCTCAGTGGATTGAGCGCGGCCTGTGAGCCAAAGGATTATGGTTCCATTCCCAGCCAGTCAGGACACATGCCTGGGTTGCAGGCCAGTTCCCAGCAGGGGATGCACAAGAGGCAACCATACGTTGATGTTTCCCTCTCTCCTTCCCTTCCCCTCTAAAGATAAATAAATAAAATCTTTTTTTTAATGTGGTAAATAGTCTCTGAAAGCAAAGCAACTCTCAAAAGATAACTGTTTCTCATACAATTTTTAAAATTATGAACTGGTTATTTTGAAAAAAGATAACTTTCTAGTAAAAAGGTATCATTAATACTTGCCATGATATTTTTAAAAACTGTATTGGTCATGTGATTTTGTGTAGGAGTTGAATACATTAATCTCTTGTACTAGAAAAAATCTTATTTATAATTTGTACAAAGTTAAACACAATTTTTTAAAAAGCTCTATATAAAGCTAAAAAGCCCTAAGAACTCCCTTTTCTTTTATCCCCAATAAAACAGGCTCAAACTGGAAAATGATAATATGATATTTAGCATCATTTCCCTTTTTAAAAGACAATAAACTAAGCAAAGAGGTGGAAGGAAGCCTCAAATTTTAGGTCTCTTGCTTATTTTCTGTTTGTCCGTTTTTGACAAATAGTATGCAACTTCCAGCCTTCCAGACTCTAACAAACATATTCTATGAAAACTTTTAAAAAAAGGAAGAGCAAATATAAAATTCAGCAGCAAACCTTCCTTCTATTCATATAGCTTATCTGTCCTCAGCCTAAATCATGAATTGAAAAGAATTAAGCCTTACCACATGTTTTAAGATATTCCCATATTGTGCAAATTGTAATAATATATAGGAAGCAGATGCTTGAGGAAACCTGAAAAAAAGAGTTGTCCAGTCATCTTTCCCAATAAAAACGAATGCAAATTACCCTACTTATAAGGGTTTCAAAATAAATTCCTCCCAACTCACTAGAATAGTGCTTTTCAATCTTTTTCATCCCATGGCACACAGAAACTAATTTCTAAAATTTTGCGGCACACCAAAAAATATATTTTTTACCAATCTGACAAAAATAGGCAGAAATTTATCATTTTAAAAAATTTTACAATCTAAGGGAAAAGAGGTCGGTGCCTGACTAAATACAGGTAATTGCATGTTTTAAAAATTGCATGTTTTAAGCACACTAGCGTGCCTGCTGCAGCACACCAGTTGAAAATTGCTGATCTAGAACCACAGGAAATCCTTGACCATCCTATTTCCCACTATTAGCTAAATCTATCACTGCCCATTACATAAAAGCATAAATGTTCAAATCAGTTTTGACTCAGCCATTCTACTCCATTCCCACACTCCTCCCCTGAAATCTCTAAAATTCCACTCTCTGCCACATCACAGCCCTAACAAGAGTTATAATGTTGCAGTTCTATACATAATTTATTTTACAAGGGAGGTGTGTGTAAGAAAAAGCAAGAGAAATATTTAGATATACTACAGTTATTAAAAGGGAAAGAATTTAAAATTATATAGTCATTATCATTATACATTGAGTACCACCTGAAAATTCATAAATTTAGTCCTGAAACAAAAATAGAAGTCAGTACCATTATCAATGGTATAGAAACATTTAAAAAGGATGGTTACCAAAATTTTAATAGCCATACACTCTGTGGGAAAATTCTAAGTGACTTTTACTTTCTTCTTTATAAAGTTCTCTATGGTTTGAATATTTTATAAGGCATTAATACTTATACAGTCCAAACCACAGATCTATTTCTATGTGAAAACCGAGAGTTTCCTTTGCCAATAACCACAGTTATCTGGAGACTGGATTGGGGAGAAAAATCTGAGTCCCCAAAATAAATGAGAAATTCCACACATTAAAATCTATGTGAGTAAAATCTATGTAAGTAAAATACTACATTCAGGACTGCAATTTTACTTTCTATTACATAAGCCTGAGTATGAGTTCTAATCCCAAAGAAAACAAATGAGGCAGGTACCTAACAAAGCAGAGCTACAGCAAATATAAATGAAGGGGAGAAGCAATGACTGAAAGTGAGGAGAGAACCTGAGAAATACAACAAAATTCTAAGACTCAGGGCCACTCTGAGTAGAAATATTCCAATATCCTGTATAAGAATCACTCTAAAACAATGAATGGTATCCTATGCAGACCCTGAGTGAGCAGGAAAAGTTATCAAAGAACACATATTGTGTATTTTAGATTTATTTCTCTATAAATGATCAATATATTTATTCCTTGGAAGAAAATGTTTCAGTTCCTTCAACTAAACTCATATAGAGGGTTACTAAAAAATAAAACCGATAGAAAATAAATAGCTGAGAAAGTGTGTGTCTTAAAAATGAAGAAAAGTACTAGCAGAAGTACTTTAAGTAATTTACCCAACTACTAAGGAATCTTGTGATTGACACCATTACTACTGAGACTAAAAAACAAACTTGGAATTGAACATACAAATTCAAAAACAGCCATTTTATGAGAGAATACAAAAATTTAGACAAAAACACAAAAATCAAATATCCAGCCCAATTACTATGAATGAAGGGCAGAGTACAAACTTCTGCAAAACAAGAAAAGGCAACAGTCCTACTTTTTACCTAAACAGAATCAGTAACACACAGAATCTCTCCATTACACTACACAAAATATAGCTATCAATTATTGCTTTAAAGGGTAAAAGAAATGCAGCTGGGAACCAAAGTGGGAAGGGAAACTTCTCATTGTACATTCTTATATATTCTTTTGAATTTTTAACTTTCAAATAAACTGAATAAATGTTAGTCCACTAACATTTACGGTGCACTGTTCTTCAAGAAGCTCATATATTTTTTTAACCCAAAACTAAATATAATGAGATTCAGTTATCACTATAACAATATAACACTTTCAGGAGCAAGCCTTATATAATACAGTGTAAGCAAGTAACAGTTTAAAAATCAGAAGATCTGAATTTTGCTGAAGCTTTACTAGTAACTAGATGTAAACCTCTGAATAAATCAACTCATCTATACCTCAGTTTCCTCATCTATAATGACACAATATCTCTAACTGTAAAGTTACTTTTTTGATCTAAAAATGTATTCGAAATGCATCTAGATGTGTTAAACAATTTCTATTAAATATTCTGTGACTAGAAAGTATATACGTGCATATACTTCTGACATAGTATTTATACATGAAGGAAATTTTTTTTCTAAGTATGTTTTATTGATCATGCTATTAAAGTCATCCCTTTTCTTTGTCCTCTTTATCCCCCTCGGCTCTGCACCCCCCCTTCAGCGTTCCCCCCCCCACCTTCATTCATGTCCATGTACCATACATGTAAGTTCTTTGGCTTCTCCATCTCATATACCATTCTTAACCTTCGTCTTTTTTGTACTTACCATTTATGCTTCTTGTTCCCTGTACCTTTTCCCCCATTCTCTTCCCTCCCCCTCCCTGCTAATAAGCCTCCCTGTGATCTCCATTTCTGTGATTCTGTACTTGTTCTAGTTGTTTGTTTAGTCCGTTTTTGTTTTTTAGGTTCAGTTGATAATAGATGTGACTTTGTTGCCATTTTACTGTTCATAGTTTTGACCATCCTCTTTTTCTTAGGTAAGTCCCTTTAACATTATATATAGTAAGGCTTGGTGAGAATGAACTCCTTTAACTTGACCTTACTTATCTGAGAAGCACTTTATCTGCCCTCCCATTCTAAACGATAGCTTTGCTGGATAGAGCAATCTTGGATGTAGGTCCCTGTCTCTCATGACTTTGAATACCTCTTTCCAGCCCCTTCTTGCCTATAAGGTTTCATCTGAGAAATCAGCTGAGTCTAACGAGAACTCCTTTGTAGGTAACTGTCTCCTTACCTTTTGCTGTTTTTAAGATTTTTTCCTTATCTATAATCTTGGGTAACTTAATAATGATGTGCCTTGGTGTGTGCTTCCTTGAGTCCAACTTCTTTGGGACTCTGAGCTTCCTGGACTTCCTGGAAGTCTATTTCCTTTGCCAGACAGAGAAATTTTCTTTCATTATTTTTTCAAAGAAGTTTTCAGTTTCTTGCTTTTCCTCTTTTGCTGGTACCCCTATGATTTGGATGTTGGAATGTTTAAAGTTGTCCCAGAGGCTCCTAAGCCTCTCCTCATTTTTAAAAAATTTTTGCTTCTTCATTCTGTTCCAGTTGAATGTTTATTTATTCCTTCTGTTCCAAATCGTTGACTTTAGTCCTGGTTTAGTCCTTCCCATCACTGTCAGTTCCCTGTATAGTTTTCTTAATTTCATTTGCATAGCCTTCACTTCTTCCATTTTCTGTCCATACTCAATGATTTCTTGAGCATCCTGATTACCAGTGTTTTGAACTATGCATCTGATAGGCTGGCTATCTCCTTTTTGCTTAGTTCCTTTTCTGGAGTTTTGATCTGTTTTTTTCATTTTGGCCATTCTTCTTTGTCTCGATGCACCTGTTACACTGTAAGGGGTGAAGCCTAAGGCATTCACCAGTGCAGGGTAACCCTGTATTGTGGCACTGTATGTGGGGGAGGGGTCAGAGAGGGAACAATGCCACTTGCTAACTTGCTCAGCTCTCATCCACGTTCTGTCACTTCCCCTGAGACCCACAAGCAAATTGGGCCCTTCTGGTCCTGATTCCTAGGTGGGTGGGTGTGTGTACATTCCAGGACCCCTGGGTCCCTCCAATGGGCTCTCCCTCTGAGAATGGGAGTTTCTCCTGCCGCCACACCCCCCACCAATTTTTACAACCAGAGGTTTTGAGGCTTTATTTCCCTGTGCTGGAACCCTGGACTGTGCCATCTATCTTGCTCCCCAGTTGCTTCTCCTAGCTTATCCACACACCAGTGCGGGACCTCCTTGTCCACCAGCTGCCGCCTTGCTGCGTATCTTCTCTGCCTCCAGCTGCCCATCTCCATCCTTCTTACCAGTCTGAATGAATGTTTCTTCTTTAACTCCTTGGTTGTTGGACTTCCATACAGTTCAATTTTCTAGCAGTTTTGGTTAGTTTTTATTTTTAAACTGGTTGTTTTCCTTCTTTTGGTTGTGTGAGGAAGCAAAGCATAACTACCTACACCTCCCCCTTGGCCAGAAGTCTCCCACAAATGAAATTCAATTTGTTAGTTCCAAACTGGTTCAGCCCACTATAAGCAGAGAAACAGTCACTACCTAGAGAGAAAGGAGCTTCCTAAGTTTAATGGGGCAACTCTCGGGATATCCAGCAAATATGCTTAAGAGAAAATAATCTAAGAAGAGACAAACAGACAGATAATGAAACTACAAATGAATATTGAACACTAGTTAATAATATGCATGCTGAAGTGCCAGGGTGATCTGTACTAATGTCTGCAACTTACTCTGAAATGTACCAACAACTAAAAAAAAGGATGAATTAATAAAATATAAAATAAATGTAGCAAACTGTTAAGTGTAGAATCTAGATGGTGGGTATATGGGTATCTGCTTTGCAATTCTTTTTTTTTTTTTGTATGTTTGATAAAATTCATTATGAAACTTTGAGGAGGGAGTTATTTATTTTTTAATGGTAAATGATCCAGAAACCTTACCCAAACACAGTTACCCATGTGTCATCAAGGTGATCTTCAGAAGTCAGAGAATCTCCTTGAGTATAAAAAGGATCCAACTGAGCAGGAGATAATGTTGTCTTTCGTGGTTGACCAATGTTTGCTGGACTAAACATACTTTGCCCTATATTAACATATTTAGTAAGTTAGTTACAAATATAAACATTTTGGTTAACTTTAATCAAAGCATTTAGTTTTAAATGAAAAAGTATATTAAAAGTTGACAATTGCATACATAGTTTAAAATACACAACTGTCTTCAAATGATAATTTTATACTACCACACAATTTGAGAAGTCATAGGTAAGAGTAGCTTACGATTTTCCAAATGTTTTATTAACTGCTGGTTAAGCCTACAACAGAAGGATCATCAGTAAACCTCAGAGACTTCTGCTGGACTCATCTTCCTAACCTACCACTTTCATCATGGCACCTCTGCCTTCAGAGTATTTAGCAACTCATTACCCACAAAACAAAATCCAAATGGCCGGGCCTCCACAGTAAAGTGGTACCCTTATTTTTCTAGTTTGCTACTAAATGGTCCCTACCCTGACCCCTAAGATGTGAATGCAATTTTCTTTTATTCAGGTCATTTCTATCTGAAATGTCTGGTTCTGCTCTTTAGTTTCTTATCCTTCAATAACAGCTACCAATTAGTGAATATTTCTACATGTCCACCATGCCCAGCTAAATGTTTTGCATGTTCATTTGATCTAAGAGGCACTGTGCTATTGGAACCACACGTTTCTGAGCAGCAGAGACCACTTTTCTTTAGTGTTTGAAGTAGAAATAATGAGTCACTCATAAAGAAATATTTTTTCAGCACTTAAATATGGACAAAGCATAATTCCAGGCATCTAATTTACAGTAATGAACAAGTTAGACTAAAAAAACACGAAAGAAATTCTATTTCAAATGGATCTTAAATCCGAAAGAGAGGCAAATAAGTAAATACGTAATATGTTATTAAACAGACAATCCTGCATTAAAAAAAAAAAAACTAAAGCAGAGAAGGGAGATTAGTATGTTACATACATATGTGGAAGAGTTTAACAGAAAAAAATTTCACTAAAATACCATTAAAACAAAAACTTGAAGGAAATGAGAAACAAAACCTGCCAGTATCTGAAGACATGAATATTGGCGGGGGGGGGGGGGGGGGGGACCAGTACAAAGTCCCTGATAAGGGATATGGCTGGTGTTTGATGAAGAACAAGAAAGCCAGTTTTGCACAGAGAGGTGGGAGATTGCACAATGAGGTCAGACCAAGCAGGGGAGCACGGGGAGGTAACAAGGTATCAGATCATGAAGAAAAATGTGAACCACTTAGCTTTTACCTAAAATGAGTTAGGCTTAGGCTTTTACCTAAAATGAGTTGGGAAGGCAGAGATAAATTGTGAGCAAGGATGATATACCAGGATGAAACATTTGAAATGAAAATAAATGGTAGCTTTTCACTGAGTACTTTTAATACCATTCTCTACATATATAATTTAATTATAAAAATCTCATGATAGATCTTATCAGTAGCTCTATTTAACAGGGTGATGTGAAATAACATCCAGAAAGAAAGCCAGAATCCCAGTCTAGGCAATCAAATGCAAAGCATGAGCTCTCAGCCAGTCATCTAGTAAATACTCTATTACTACATCAACAGTTGTACCAGAGTGGTCCTTAGGTCCTCGGATCTACTAGGCTTATTAAAGATCCTATTTAATTCAAAGTACTATCCTAGACCCAACTAGAAAACAAGATGCTCACAACCAAATGCTTATGTCCAGTCATCAAGTTAACAAGCTATAATACAAATGAGCTGCTAGAAAGCTTAAGAAACACATATTCAAGTATTTTTAAAGCAATCTAGCAAAAGTCCATATGCAACAATTAGCTCCAGAGAAAACAAAGGTACACAAGAAGGAAACAGAATCCCAGTATATTGCATAGCTCCGTCCTACAGATTTAGCTGACTTTTAAAACTGAGTCCATGTTTAATTTTTTAAAAGAGAACACAAAGTAAATCACTGAAATGAACATCCAACTACATCCATATTATAATACACTTAACAATTTTTTCTCATCACAGATGCATTTAATAGGTACAACCATTTCTAAAATGAGGCTAATTTAAAATGAAATACCCCCTTTTAAATTACAGTTGTTGGGATGACATTGGTTAATATAACTACAAAGGTTTCGGGAGTACAATGCTATATCATCTATATACCGTACTGTGTGTTCACCACCTCAAGTCAAGTCTCTTTCCATCACCATTTACTCCCTCTTTACCCTCTTCTATCTCTCCCACTTCCCTTCCCATCTGGTACTCACCATGCTATTGCTTGTATCTTATGAGGGTAGTTTATTTTGGCGGGGCGGGGCGGGGCGGGGGGGGGGGGAGGTGTCAAAAAATACTCTTAAATAAATTTAGTTTTTACAACAAAGACATGCCTTCAACACACAAAATATGAAAAAAGCATTTTGGTATAAAGTCTGAGGCCAATATAATTTTTATATGTTTTGTATTACCATTCAGATGGTATAATTACTTATGCTACATCATGTAACAACCTTCAAGCAAGAAATTAAATGAAAACACAAATGAAATAGCCATTATGACCTTTAAAAAAAAACAAATCAAAATTAAGTCTCAAACAAATAAGAAATCTAATTTTTGCCCTGTCAACTACTCTAAAAAACATAATTACTTATACATAATCTAAATGTATTTACATAATGTGTTTAGCATAATTGCCCCCCACCTCATTAATGTTTAATTGCTCCACTGATTTTACTTCCTTTCAATCAGACTTCTGGTATCCACATGCTATGCTTTAAAAGATGAAAATAAAGCATACCTAAGAAACCACATCAAATGCCTGTCCCTTGGTAAATCACAACTCAAACACTCTTCTAATGCCAGACTAAATAAAGTAAAGGGCAAAAGACCTTATTACCCTTTATGAAAATGTCTTCAATTAAAGAACACATTCAATTATTTCAAAATAGACTACTAGTATAAATGAAAATAAAAGAAATAAAAAGAGCGCTAAATTTTAAACAGATGCATGGCATATGAAACTTGGGAAAGAGGTTCCTTCTTACCGTGAAACAAAGTAGCACAATATATTAAAAGAATTTGGCCTCAGCCCAAAGAGAGGTCAGACCTCTGTCAGGTTCCTGGGAGGTAACATCTAAACCCTAAGATTTTCCCAGCAAGAAAAGTGTTTTTGCTATTCATGAAGAGGGCTGCTCAATCAAGTGCACGAGTTTATGCTAACAACACGACTCATGGTGGGGGCAAGTCTCACCAGAAAGACCATGTGATAAAAAAGAATGGGCTTTGAGCCACACATCATCCCACCTCTGGGCACAGAAGGGGACTAGAGATGAGTTTAGCCACATGATCAATGGTTCAATCAATCATATTTACAAAATGAAACACCAATAAAAACTCTGGACAGAGGCTCCAGTGAGCTTTCCTAGTTGGTAATATCCTGTGGACAGCACTGGAAGCATAACATAGCACGGAAGCTTTGTGTTTGGAACCCTCCCAGACTTTGCTTTATGCCTCTCTTTCTTTGGTTCTGATTTGTATCCTTTGTTAAAATAAAAGTGTAAACATATATATAGCAGTTTCACTGGGTTCTGATTTTGTAGCCAGTAGGTCTGAAAGTAAAGGTAGCCCTGGGTACCCCCAAACTTGCAGCTGGCATCTGAGGTAAGAGCAATCTTGGGGGACTTTCCAGTCTGACAAACTCATTGTATCCAAAAGCACAGTGAACAACTGCAGAGGACCAGTTTGTCTTGGCCTGGCAAATGTGACTCAGCGCTGTATGGAAAAACTACAGATGCGAAGTGGTGGGCAGGAGCCAGATCCTCAAACCAAGTTTTGCCCTGGGAATCAGGCCTAGAAAATGCATAGACTGTTACGGCTTGCTCTTGCTAAAACTCCATCACCCTGGTCTAAAGCAACAGATGTGTATTGTCTATCTTCAAGGTAATTTCCAAAGCCTGTATGAGTTCTCCCAAGGACAGAGCTAATGAGCTCATCGCCATTCCCCTCTGCATGTTATTTTCATTTCCTTGATTATACCTAAAATGTAGACAATAATATTCTATGTAATAGGTAATAAACCTTTCTCTGACGTAAGACCCAAGGAAAACAATAAAAGCCTGTCTAGGCAAGGGTCGTAGTGCTCCCCTCTTGAGGGAGTGGCCGAGGCACCATAGGCACTCTCCCCTTGAAAGAACAGCCTTGCCTGTTCCCTTTTTCCACACAGGATTGTTGTCACCTGTGCATTCATTCTCGCCATCAGCCATAACAGGCGGACTCTGCTGGACAGGGTCTGCTACAAACAATGGATACAACATCCACTCAAACATGGTGAACTAAACACTTGTATTCATCTCTAATCCCTTCAACGCCCAATGACTGTTATTTTAGAAAGGCCCCGGTTTTGGAGACCACAGGAACTATGAAAAGTGTGAAACAGGATGCCAGCTAAAATCGAGGAAGATTAGTGGGTATAATAAAAAGTGAGATGGCAGGCTCCTCCTCATCTTAGGCAGCCAGATGACAGTCACCAATCCATCCCACTCCCAAGAGACCAAAGACTTAGTCTCTAAGGAAAAGGATACTCTAAATAGCTCAGGACTCCATGAGTCCAGTCACAGTGTAGAACAACTGTAGGACATCAAGACTTCTTTGGGAAAACAAAAAAAACATAAGACCTACATATGCTGAAATCAGAGATTTTTCCCAGCAAAAATCTAGTTAGCTGTCTAATCCCCTTATAGTGAAGCCCACTGAGAGACAAACAGCCTCTCTCTACAAATTTCCCCCTTCCTGCAAATGCTGATGAGCACACAAGCACTAATTCCAGGTGGCTCTTTAGTGACCATTCAGTAAATATGCCTTCCCCAAGACAGAAGATGTAGAAAAAGGAAAAAATAATAATAACTAGAAGAAAACAGACAATATGAACAAGAATAAAAATCAACATTAATCTCACTGGTAAGATTCATATTTATGAAACAACAATAGGATGTAAAAATCAACAATAACAAAAGATTCTTGGGAATTAAAATGGCAAAAAATTGTTATAAAAATTGGAAACTGAGACT